GAAACACATGCAAGTGATGGTTTAGTTTGTTATACAAATTTGATCTTCTGAAATATCTTCTACTGTCAACCTTACAACAGGTTCTGAAACATGATCAGCCATAACACTGTATTCTACAAGAATGCATATTAGGTTTATAAATGATGCCTGTAGATGGCATTGGTTTCCATAAAAAGCAAATGATAAGATAAAAGGCTTTCTGCAATGTGTACAAACAGTCTTGACTTATATATGCTACTTATATTTTTTTTAATTGTGAAGCACCATCATTTTTCATCACTAGGAACTCTAGCAGTATATAGATACTTGTGACTCTCATATTACAATCTTTAACAACCTAAAACTGTTTAGCATTTAGAATGTTTCTCTGTGTATTTTTAATATCAGGGTTATATCAATAAAGGGACTTGAGATTATAAAATTTGTTGTTCTTCTGCAAAAAAGAACCCGTCATCATTTCATCAACACTGAAAGTTTGTAAAGAAGCAGATTACATAAGAATAGCCAAGAACAGAAATATACAAATGTTTCCCACATTATTCTGTATTTAAGAAAACTGGACTAAGCATTTTCCTTGGGGTTTGAAGGATTACAATAGTCATTAAAATTATATGATTTCATAACTTTTCTGCTGTACATTAACTACTTTATTAAAAAAGAACAATACCATATTTTATTTCATCTCTACAAGTAATGTTTTAGAAAGCTGAACACTGTAACACCTTCAGAAATAAAATAACTTGACACAGTTTCCAAATCCTTATGAAAATGTTTTGGCCAAGTACAAAGTAAATGAATTTAAGACTATACTGTTATACTCAACACACAATTTTTATCAGACTTCTTATATTACTCATTAAATTGCAGAACTCAGTAACACATTGTAATATAAGATTAACTCATTTTACTCTGTTTTATCACAACCGAGCTTATTATAGTATGCTCTAATGCTAGATTGTGATATACTTTCATGAATATTTTTATCAAATTTATTCAATTATGTGGTAAATATGATAGAGTAGCAGTACCCTTCAAATAACTGATAAATCAAACCTACTTAAGTCTTTTTGTGAGATTGTTTCTATGTATAAAGTACCTAAGCTTAGTAATACATTTTGAAACCAGATAAATCAGACACACTTTTTTTTTCCTTATTAGAATGTTTCCATTCCTTGCTGAACTAAATAAAGTACTGCTAGGCATAATTTATTGTTTTTATCCAAATGTTTTCATTATGCATCAGAGCTTAAGATAATAACTTCAAATGCCAAGCAAATTGTACATATTGAATGCTTTTTTCTTATCAACATTCTTCTGGTGCATATAAAATGCCTGAACTCAGTAGCACCTAAGCTTCCAATGCCAGATAAACTGTACTTATTGTATACTTTCTTATCAACATTCTTCTGGTGCATATAAAATGCCTGAACTCATTAGCACCTAGCTTCCGATGCCAGATAAACTGTACATTTTTTTCTTATCAACACACTTCTGCCACATAAAAATTACATGAACTTGCTAGTACCTAGCTTTCAATGTCAGATACTGTAAATACTTTATGCTTTCTTAACATATCTGTATATTCTTTACTTCTTTTTATTAAAATTTTTCTATTAATATTTTATATTAAATATATGAGCACAGTAGTAGCTTTCAGTATCAGATCCTAGTAGTATCATCCAATAACAGAAAATTGTATATATTTTGTTGTTTCTTATCATGTTATTATTTCTGCTACATACCAAGTATATACGGTTGTACACATTCTTTCCAAACAACTTTTCTTTAAATATCCAGGTCAAATTCCAGAGCTTGCAGACCTGCACATGCACGTAAATGACAGTGATATTCCAACTTTTTCTTGTAATTTCCCTAGTTAACACTACTTTAGTTTGTAATATGGTTACAAAAAGTAATAGATATACCAGGCTATAGTAACACACAAAAAAATCTTATTGTTTATTGATTTTTATGCGAAACTACTAAATGGATATTTGCTATAAGCTATCTTTAATTTTGAAGTGATGGACTGGAAAGAAGCTAGTCAACAAACACCTATTGCCAACTTCTGGATTACTCTAATCAAATAGTAGGATGTGACTGTCACTCTTATAATGCACCTATGCTCCCAGAGTGGGGAGGGAAATTTTATTTTGGCAATAACAGGGAAGAACTCATGGAGTCTCAGATCCACAGTCTGATATACTAATATTTAATTCAACAAAATATATAGTTGATTCTAAAGCATCATCAATTTTTTTTTTAGTTGCTTAACTTCATCCTTTGCATAAAGTCAAATCAAAAAAGGATATTCTAAATGAATTAAATATACTGCATGTTTTCAAGCAAGAGGAAGAAAATTTTAAAGCAAGATGAAATATTAAGTGTAAATCATTCACTTGTAACTATTCATGATACTGTTTTTATAAGTATTTTTAAACATAGACATTTAGTATTTCAAAAAAGTATCTTATAATGATGCACATACTTCTATATTATAATCACACTATACTAACATAGAAAAAAATCCTAACTATCCACACACAATTTTACATACTTCAGTGGACTTATGCTTGACCAAAACTTTTGAAACACACATTACACTTCATGAAGAACATACTTTACAGGATAAATACATCTGCTGAAAATATGAGTAAAACAGGAAAAACTCAGCTACAAAGCTATATTTTTATTGTGGACTTGCATGTTGATGATGCTCTGCCAATGAATATATATATATGTGTGAGATAATGGGAGATATAGTATATTGTGAATGTACTTTGCACACTTACAGTTTTACACTCATTTTTTTCACAAAATTTGAGATCATAAGCATTAAAAATACTAGTACGCACTAATGAAAATGCCCAGCGTATGACAAGCAGCATACAAAAATCCTGTACTAGTAGCAGCTAGTACTGATAATTTTGAACATCTGTATATTTGCATTAGAACTAAGCATTTTTTAGTACATAATGTTTCAAAGTCAAACTCCACCTTAAAGTCATGATGGTGCACGTGGGAAATAACTGAGTATTAAAAACACTATTAAATATTAAATTACCTAAAACAAACTCAATAATTTATTTTTATAATGTTGAAAAGAAATTATTAAGAATAAAAAACACAAAAGCTGATGTTTTTTGGCACAATGAAAGATAAAATATATAATATTATTTACAGCTGACTAGTTTCAATAACACAGTTACCATCATCAGAGCTAATATCTACAGTGTTAGCTTAGAATGACAAACATCTACAAATAAAATACTCTAGTCAGCTGTAAGTCATAATAAGTATTTTACCTTTCATTGTGCCAAAAAATGTCGTTTTTTGCTCTTAATATAGTGGCACACTGTGCCTGAAAAGAAATCATATGAATTCATTATTTTACCTATGATCTGTATATAATATCTATTGTGATCTTTCAAAAGAATGAATAAAAGCTCTATTATATATTAAATTGTTCTAAAAATTAGCCTACATTTTTTAATGGAAAAAAATATCAATTCCACTTAAATTATAGCATACAAAAATTTATAAACCTCTAATAAAATATTTGTGTTTGCAAAATTATCTTGAGATGCTGACACATTAAATCACTTTATACATAATTATAAATTTAAAGTTTAAAAAACTTGGCTCAAAAGTCTTCAGTATGTTTTGAGTACATTTTTTAAATCCAAAAAGTTACCAAAGCAACATTTACATGTTATACTTAATTGAATTCACAGACAGCAAAGGCATAAAATTAAAATTTCACTGTACTTTTTAATTTTTCTAAAATAAATACTTTTAAAATAATTCACACTGGTATCCCAAATGGATGAACCCCAAAAACATAACTCTGTATTAATAAAACCACAGAAGATCATGAGCACAAAAAAAGGATTATTTTCAACAAATCCTATACAATTTGCACTTTCATAACAATTGTCTATTCTCCAATACTCTTTCATTTGGAATTATGTTTTTCAGTTAACTAAATATATTGCCATGACATGTCCTAACTTTTTACTATAATTTAAATAACA